GGAGATACATATTGAAATATGGATGAAATTTCATGTTTTCCTTTTAAGAGAGAAAGGTCTCAGTATATTACCTAGCTTGGCTTTGAACTCCCAGCCTAAAGCAATTCTAGCACCTCAGCCTCCGTAGTAGCTGTGGCTATAGCACATACCGCCATGCCTGGGTATGGATTATTTTTAAATACTCCAGCAAGGAAATCAAAGTTTGGGTGTGGAGAATATAAAAATATGAGCTACCAAACCCAGCACGGTGGTACACGCCTTTAATCCCAGGACCCGGGAGGCAGAAGCAGGTAGATCTCTGTAAGATCAAAACCAGCCTGGTCTACGATAGTGAGTTCCAGGCCAGCTGGGGCTACAAGGGAGACCCTGTCTCAAAAAGATGGGGGAAAAAAAAAACAAACCCCAAACAAACAAGCTACCTGACTCTGAGCCATGGCTGCTCACCAAGTCCCTGGGAGGTGGAGAGGGAGAGAGGGAGAGAGGGAGAGGGAGAGGAGAGAGAGGGAGAGAGAGAGAAAATCAAAGGTAGAAAGTTTGAGAAGAATTTTGATGGGCCTCTGCACATTGTGCAAATGCTCTACCACTGAACTATACCCCAGTCTGAGAGATTGTTTTTAAGTGCCTGACTATGTTCTTTGTTTTTTTTTAATATCTTTTATTCCTTGACAATTTCATACACATGTACAATGTATCTTGATCCCTCCATCTCCAGATCTCCTCTCCCACTCACCCTACATTCTCTAACACAGTCCCTACCTAACCTTCAGGCTATCTTCTTTATTTTTTTCACAGCTATATTACTATGTTTAATAACACCAACTTTCTATCTTAATTTGTCAGCTTCATTTTGGCATGGGCTAATAAAAACACATTACTTATATAGTGTTTCACTCAGAATCAGAATTTTCAGGTGATTTTCACATACACTGGGGGAAATTCCTAAGCTTCGTTCCTCGCAGCTCCTTGTTGTAAATATTTTTTTATGTCCCAAGAGATGTGTTTCATCTGTCCTATGCTAGCCCCCGCAGCTGCTGCTGATTTGTCTGGTTTCCCTCAAAGGCATCAAAGGTGTCTGAGCTTCTTTAAACTCATTCAGGTGCCTGAAAGGCAGTTTCCGTGCCTGCAAAAGTTTGTATTGCTTCCAAATGATTCACGGCAACTATAGAAATGTAGTTACCATTCTCTGTGTTGGGTAAGTAGAACTGATGGTCATTTTTTTGTCCTTATCCTCGCCCTCACCACACATCCACTGGACCTTGGCTGGTGACTCACGTTTGTTTACTCACTTCAGAGCCCAGGGAGAGGAAGCAGACAGTCTCAGGAATACTGCCTGTTTCTCAAGAGTTTACTGTGGAGTTTACAATGCAAAACGATAAGATACATTGGGAGTTTGCTGCCATTGAGCCAGATTATCTTCTTTATGTGTCTGTGTAACCCACTGAGCTCAATTAGTGTTGTCACCTGCTGGCTTGCTAACTGATCTTGGCTTGATGGTGTGTAGAAAACCACAGCCTGCAGCGAGCTCTTGAGTAAAATGGTCATGTAATGTCCAGAGGTCAGCATGTCACAGTACTCCTCCACATCTTCCAGCTCTTACACTCTTTCTTCCCCCTCATCTGTGATGTTTCCGAGCATTGGGTAGGGGCTAAAGGGTTGATATAGATGTTGTATTTAAGGCTGAGCACTCAACTGCCACTTATTCTCAGCACTTTGGCCAGTAATAAGCCTTCTAGATTGGCTACTGCCCACTGCAGAGAAGCTTATCTACCAAGGTTGAGAGCAGCACTAATCTATGGGTCTATGGCAAGACAACCGTCGTAGGTTCCCCCCCTTAGGGCCTATGGCCTCCCAACCACAGAACCATCTCTCCAGTCCTTATATTTTTTTAATTAGCTTACAAAGTAATGGATTTCCATAAAGGTTTTTTATACATCCATCGCTTTGGTTAGTTCATCCCCCATCCCCTCCCCTTCCCCTGCTTCAATCCCTGCTTAAACTTTTAGCCCCTAGTATCCTTGCCCCTAGTTTCATAGCATGTGTGTTCTGTTTCCCCTCACCCCTTATGGTCGGTCTCTTCTATAATTCTCATGGCCCTTTCTAGTTTCCTGATCTCTACAAACCAGCCTGAAAAATTTTGACTCATTAAACATTTTCTTCTCTTTCTTTTCTTTTTCTCCTCCTACTGGTCCTCCTCCTTTATCTTCTTTTGAGACAGGGTCTTGTGTAGTCCAGGTTGGCCTCAAACTCAGTATGTATATAAAGATGACTTTGAACTTCTCATCCTCTCTCCTGCACCTCCCAAGTACTTGTTCTGAGTGTGTGTGTGTGTGTGTGTGTGTGTGTGTGTGTGTGTGTGTATCACAGGGTCTTACTATGTATCCCAAACTGGCCTCAAACTTGAGATCCTCCTGCCTCACCCTTCTAGTGCTGGAATTCCAGGCATGGGTCACCACACCTGGCTTATTGTATTTTTGTATCAAATATGACAAATGGTTTACAGTCACATTGAAGAAAAATCTTGGGAAAATCTGTCATTTTGTCCCCTTTTCTCTGGAGCCTCTTGAGGACAGGGCAGTTAACCACTCGTCCATCTCTCCAACCCCATAAATGTCTTTCTTATCAAGTTCCAGAGCCTAAGGTATTTGGTTGTATCAATGAAAAACTGACTAAAGGGCTGGAGAGATGGCTCAGAAGTTAAGAGCACTTACTGTTCTCACAAAGGAACCACATGGTAACTCACAATTATCTGTAAGTTGAGTTCCAGGGAATCTAACACCTCTACTGGCCTCCATGGGCACTGCATGTCCACAAGGTACAGATATATATATATACAATACACTCATACACATTAAAAAAATAACAAAACCAAAAAGACCCCACTATTCTGTCAATCTTGAGTTTTTCAACTCTAACCATGAAACTTTTCAGAATTAGATTTATCTTCAGCTGAACTCGCTAACCAAATAGTCAAAGCCTGTGGAGGCAAAGCACCCCATGAGGGCCACACCATGATCTTCCTTTACCAATAGCTTGGAGTCAGTAAATAAGAGTTTGCTTCACAAATATGAGGACGTGAGTTTGGATCCCCAGCACCCACATAAAAAGCTGGATGTGGTGGCTCATACCTGTAATCCTGGATCAATCCTGGAGAGGTAGAAAGGAGAATCCCAGGGGCTTGCTGGTCCGCCAGCCTAGCCAAATCCTTAACCTCCAAGTTCCATGAGAGTTCACGTCTCAAAAAATAACTCAGTGCCAGGTGTGGTGGCACACACCTTTAATCCCAGCACTCAGGAAGCAGAGGCAGGCAGATGTCTGTGAGATTGAGGCCAGTCTGGTCTCCATAGGGAGTTCCAGGCCAGCTGGGGCTACAAGGAGATCTTGTCTCAAAAAGACCAAAAGAGAGAGAGAGAGAGAGAGAGAGAGAGAGAGAACAATTGAGGAAGACAGACAGCATCAACATCTGACCTCCACATGCACATGCACATACAGGAAGTGAAGAAGAAAACAAAAAGACCAGGAACTGGGGACAACACAGGTTGCACCATGCCTTTGCAGGACAGAGATTGCTACCCAAGCTGGAGCCAGAAGGCAAGGAGTCTGGAGGGAGGTGAGGTCTGACCTGATGTCTAAAAGATGGCCAGAAATGACTGCAGTTAGCAAAAGGGAGAACAGGTGCAGGCAGAGTCCGGAGCATATGCCAAGACTTGGAGCAAGAGAAAGTTCAGGCTTTAAATCTTGTTACTCAGCCCACAAATCTCTCTACTCCCTGCACTGTCAGCTCCCTTCCCTTCTGACCTGAAGGTGCACTGGAGACCTTGCAATTCAACTTTGGGAAGATATTATCTACCTGACTCCCTACCAGGCCATCTTCAAAACAAAAAGGTCAGGAGAAACTTTTACAGTTCCCATCTGTTTGTGGAACCCTGCCTTCGGAACACAATAATCATTACCATTTTAACCAGGGCAGCTGCGGGTAAGCCCCTCAAGAAGATGGAATCTGTTAAATGATCCCTAATAGGAGAGAGTGGATAGGGTCATTTAGACCCTCACCTGAGATTCCCGTCACTCCCTCCTGCACCCCACTCCTGCCTGTGTGTAATGCTGCCCCAGCTGCATTCGGTCTCCAGGTGTGCTAGAGTGTACGAAAGGTGGGATGTTAAGGGAAGTGGGGACTCCATGTAGCCGGTTATGGGAAAGGCCTCACCCATCTTGGTACGGCCAAGGAAGGCAACTGTTTGGGAGTCACCCACACTCCTATATTGGGCTTATGCCCAATCAATTCACTAGTTCACCAGCGAGTGGTGCCCTATCTGGAGAAAGTAGATGTTCTCGCGCGGCTCCTCAGGCAAAGTTAATACACCACCATCCCAAGCTCTTGTTTTACTCAAAGTACTGACCAGCCATTTTTCAGTGTAGGTAGGGAACAGCTCATAAGTCAAGTCACTGTGACCTCGTGAAGGAGAGTTATGGCTCAGCAGTTAGGGGCACTGACTGCTCTTGCAGAGGATCCGGGATTCAATCCCAAAACCCACATAGTGGCAAACAACTCCAGTTCCAGGGGATCTGATGGCCTCCTCTCACCTGCACCGGCACTGCACGACACGGGTGCACTAACACACATACAGGAAACAGACTCATACACATAAAATAAAAATAATAGATAAAATTTAAATAGGTCTTTCAGGATAGTTGTGACGATTAAAGAGGGAAAGGTGAGCACGTCCCACCCCAACCCCCATTAGACTCAGCAGCTAGCAAACCCGAGGCCCAACACTGCGCGCAGGCGCACTGCGCCAAGACGCAGCAGAGGGTCAGCTCCGCGGCTGCGCAGCTGGCTGCTTTTGCGGCCGCGCTGCTTGACGGCAGCAGTGCCACCACCCCCTCACCCACCTCAACCAGGCCCGCGTTGCCGGGTAACAGTGAGCGCGCTGGGCCTCGTAAGGTAAGCTTGGCATGCTGGGAGCGGGGAGACGGGAGTGGACAGGCAGGTGTGGCGCATACGTGTCCCCATAAGGGACCTTGGGCTGTCACTGAAGAACCAAGGACCAGGTCAGGACGGTGTCCTGCAGCCCCGGCCCCGCGCGCCCTGGCCTGTGGATGCTGCGCGGGTGGGAAAGGAGTCCACATAGTAGCCGCGGTGGGTGCTGCAGCTGCGGGCCTGCGGGGCTCCACGTGGTAGCGGTCTTTTCCCCGCAGTAGCCTTCACTGCTGTGTCTGGTAGCCCGCACTAAAATAGCCCCAGAGAACCAGAGCTGTCCGCGGTATCTTTCCTCCCTGCATCCGGAGCTCAGGAGCTAGCCATGCAGCTGGAGCTTTAAATGTGTTTTTTAGTCGGGTGTGGTGGCGCGCCTTTAATCCCAGCACTCGGGAGGCAGAGGCAGGCGGATCTCTGAGTTCGAGGCCAGCCTGGTCTACATAGTGAATCCAGGACAGCTGGGGCTACAGGGAGAACCTGTCTCAAAAAGACCCCCAAAAAATTGTTTTTAAACTGAGAGACCACCGGCACGAGGGTGTAGCTCGGTTGACAGAGTGCTTGCACAAAGCCCCAGTTTCAGCTCCCAGCACCACATAAAACCAAGCGTGCTAGTGCCCGTCTGCAACCCCAACAATTTGGGAGCTGTCAGAAGAATCAGTAGGTTATCCTCATCCTCAGCTACTTAGCAAGTTTGAAGACAGCCTGGGCTACCTGAAACTCAAAAAACCAAAATAATGATTAAGAGACCAGGATTGAGCTTTGCTGCCGGGGTTGTGGTCATCCAGTGCCGTGTTCACAGGACGTTTTACAGATCTCAATAACCAGAATGTCTCCTTGGCTATAACAGCATTGCTGGCACTCACTCTGTAAGCATTACCAGCGATACATGAGTGGTCCTCACTGTGTGCTGGGCACTGTCCTAAGCACATCATGAGCCTTAGCTATAAGTAGAGGTTAGTTTTGTTCTTTTACTTTTGTCTAAAATTTCTCAGCTAAGTAGTAGTAAAGCTGTTCTAATTTTATGTATGTGTTGTTGAAGGCAGCACATAGTGTAGACTACACTGGCTATCTGGCTTTACAGTCCCTGCACATGGCCACCGCATTTTGTGGTACATAGTGGATCTTTAAATGATAGTGGCCCTGTTATTACTTACTGATTTCCTTTAAAAACCGGGAGCCAGGCATGGTGACTCACACCTATAATACCAGCACTGCGAAGTGGTGCCAGGAGGCGTTCATGGTCATCCTCACTTACATGGCAAGTTCAAGACCAGCCTGGGCTACATGAGACCCTGCTCAAAAAAAAACAAAAACAGGCTGGAATGATGGCTCAGTGGTTAAGAGCACATGCTACTCTTGCAGAGGACCTGAGTTCAGCTCCCAGCACCCACATCAAGTACCTCACAACCACCTGTAACTCCAACTCCAGGGGAACCAACACCCTTCTCTGGCCTCAGTGGGCACTGTACTCAGGTATATAGACACATAACATAATTTAAAAATAAATGTTTAAAAAAAAGAAAACTTCAAACATGGGGCTGAAGAGATGGCTCCGAAGTTAAGAACATTGGCTGTTCTTGCAGAAGACCCAGGTTCGAATCCCAGCACCCACATGGCAGCTAACAACTGTCTGTAACTCCAGTTCCAGGGGATCCAACAGCCTCTTCTGTCCTCGGGCATTGCACAACACGGGTGCACTTACCTACATGCAAGCAGTACATGCATACACATAAAATAAAAATAATGATAAATATTTTTTTAAAAAACTTAAAATACACTAACATGAGAACTGACTGAGCCAGTGTTTAGCAAGCAGCTCTGAATATTGGCAGATCCTGGAAGGCGCTCTGTTAGCGCTCTTTACCTCTGTGGACTGAGGTAAAGAACAGAAGTCATCTTCAAAGGCAGAAATCCTGTGGTGATGCTTCCCAGAAGTCCTTGTGTTGTGACTCTGGATGTGGCACTGGACCTCTGTACTGCCAGCTCCTGTTAAAATGATAGCACTGGCTTCTTGGGCCTCCAGGGTCTGAGCTACTCCTGGTGACCCACTTGTGCACTTGTGCATGTTCTTGTTATTTGAAATCTTCTAGTTATCTGTAAATACTCTTCTTCTTCCCCCACAGACCACAGAGTTTTCCCAACCTGATTCTAAGTGAGCTCGCACTGCTGGTCCCTGTGGTTACTGGCTGGATCCTCCTCCCTTGTCTAGGGACCAGTTATACCTGAAGAATGGCAGAAGCAGTCTTCCATGCCCCAAAGAGGAAAAGAAGAGTGTATGAGAGTTATGAGTCTGCACTGCCAATCCCCTTTGGTCAGGACCAAGGTCCTAGGAAGGACTTCAGAATGTTCCGTGCTGAAATGATTAACAACAATGTGGTAGTGAGGAGCGCAGAGGACATGGAGCAGCTGTATGGGCAGGTATGTGCAGGTGGCCTCTGGTTCCTTCCTCAGCTCTGAGCGGCACCTCACTGCCCAACAGATCTGCAACAGTTCCTGTGCAGTTTCAATCTGTGGCCCCAAAGCCATCTATTGTGAGGGTACAAACTAGACACGGGGTGCCCACTCAGACTCAGATTCCAACAGTGAAATAGGGCCAAGGAATTGACCTTTTTCAGTTATAAAAGCAGTATGTATTCATTATAAAAATTAACAAGTAATTTACAGAAATGTAATGGGTGAAAACTGAAGATCACCCCACTGACTTCTGTTCCCTTCTTCCAAGTCCCCGGAGGTCACCAGAGTGACCTTGACCCTAGTGTGGTGAGAGTAGAATCCACTGGGTCCTCCTGCCCATTGCTGAGGTCTTCATTCAGTCAGTAATGTGAGGCAAGAGGCTTTATTAAGTGTCACACACTTTCTTTATTCTGAATGCTTGATCTATACAGAAGGCAAAGAATATTATTTTTACTAATTTGATTTTTTTTCTGTTTAATTATAACAAAAGCAGGAAAAGTATGTGTTTTGGGGGAATCAGAGGGAAAGAGAGGAACACTTCCATTCTGAAGTGGAGAATAATCCAAGATGTGCTTTGTGCCCAGTGGCCATGGCTCCCACTCACAAGCACACTGCTTTCCTGAGTCACAAGTGAGAAGGCACTGCCTCCCATCCCTGCACTGGTTCCTTGAGTTTGCCAGAGTCAGGCTGAAATGATCAGTTTTGAGTTAAATGATGTGTATTAAAAGCTGTGGGGCTAGGGAGGTGGTCCAGTGGGTAAAGCACCTGTCACACAGGCAGGAGGACCTAGGTTCAGATCCCCAGCATGCATGTAAAAGCTAGGCATGGTTGCACACATTGTAACCCCAGTGCTGCTGGATGAGTTGGGGGTGGTTCTCTGGAGCTCATTAGCCAACCAGTCTGGCCCAATCAACAAGCTCTAGGTTCAGTGGGATACCTTATCTCAGAATAAAAGGTGGTGAGCCTGGCGTGGTGGCGCACACCTTTAATCCCAGCACTTGGTAGGCAGAGGCAGGCAGATCTCTGTGAGTTTGAGGCTAGCCTGGTCTACATACTGAGTTCCAAGCTAGCTGGAGCTACAGGGAGACCCTGACTCAAAAAGACCAAAAATAAAAAATAAAGGGTGTCACACGATACCCAGCATCCATCACTGGCACACATGCACATGCAACATCAAACATAACACACTCAGAGATGTAAATGCATGATCATTGGCGAAGCAGAGGAAACATGAAGCACTACAGCATGGATGATCTGCTGTTAAATAGAGTTCTGTTCTGCTGCAGCTGAGCACCTTCTAATCATCACCTGACTGTGTTTTCTCTCTTCTTGGAAGGGTTACTTTGGAAAAGGTATTCTTTCAAGAAGCCGTCCAAACTTCTCCATCTCCGATCCCAAGCTGGCTGCAAAATGGAAAGGTAGTGTGCGTGCTGTTCAGTTGTGGCACAGCATCATTCTCTTTCATTTGTGATTTTATACTTCATAGTTAGATGGTAAAGTTCTAGATTCTACTGCCCCAAAAAGCAGCTAAGAATTTTCATCAAAGCAAAATGGTTCTTTGTTTTTGTTGTTTTGCTTTACTTTTGTTTTTGACAATGGCTCACTACACAGCCCAGGCTTGCCTGGAACTCAGGACTCCCACTCTAACCTCCCAGGTACTGGGCTTGCAGGCGTATGCCACCATGCCAAGCAAGAGATCTTTATGGCTGAATTAACAGAAGTCTTATAGGTACAGGGTCCTGGTTTCAATCCCTGGCACCTCAAAAACGGGGAAAAATGTTATTTAGACTTTCTTCTTGTTGAGCTTTGCCTACCAGAGTGCTGTGTGGGGGGGAAGTTCTGGAAATTAAGGACCTGCCCACCTATGTACTGCCAAAGTAAGCTTTGTGTTTTATTTGCAGAAAGAATTTACAACAGTAACCATGACATTGACATATTTGTTAAGACATCTAATGTGGAGCTGGTGAGATGGCCTAAGCCCTGAGTTCAGTCCCTGGAAAGCACATGGGGAAAGAGAGAACAACTCCTAAAGTGCTGTCCTGATAATTACTTAAATAATACCAGGAGGAGACTGGGTGTGGTGGCCCACGCCTGTGATCCCAACACTCAGGAGGCAGAGGCTAGGAGATCTCTGAGTTCAAGGACAGCCTGGGTTTATAGAAGAAAAGGAAAGAAACAATGCTAGGAGGTTAAAACATGAAAGAATTTTTTTAAAGCTGAATGTGATGGCTTGTGCCTGTGATCACAGCAAGTAGGGCTGGGACAAGAGAAGCGCAAGCTAGAGACCTGGTCTTAAAAAACAAACAAAAGGCCATACAGTTGGCCCAGATAAACCAATTTATTTTTACTCTTAAGATCGTTTGAGGATCTGTTCCTCAGGGGTCACATGGGCTTGGGAGGAGCCCCTGGCTCCTTTCTTTTACCAGTTCCACCTATGTGAAGATAAGTCAAAGGTCCTGCTCAACCATGGTTGCCTTTGCTTGGGAGCATGGAGGAAGTGATTCCTCTTTGCTGACCTTCCTCTTTGTAGACTGGACACTGGTTCAAGTCCATCTGGTGG